TAATCTCCCTCAGAACAGATTTGTGCCTGGTTAGTTAACTGCCCAGAATAGTGCCTGACACGTATAATATTTTTGTGCGTGTGAATGAGTGAATGTGAAAATCTCTTCAATCTTTTTATTTTTAAAATTCATTTATCATATATGGCCTAACATCTAATTTCACAAAGAGATAGCCCATTAGTCTGGAAAATTAAAGCTTGATAAAGTTTGGAGAACTCTACAACCAACAAATGTTTCAGGGAACCATGCTTCTTCTATCACATGGCTTAGAACTTTCAGAGTCAACAGTGAATCCCACTGGAAGTCTTAGGGGTTAGGTCTGGAAGTGATGTGCACCGCCTTTGGTTTATTTTTAGGCACATGGCCAAATTCCCAAGTTCTATTCCAAACTGAAGATATAATCTCCCAATGGGCTCAGAGAAGAGGAAACTGGACTGGTGAGCATCTACCCATCTCTGCCACACATAAACTAGGAAAACACTGCATGCCTACTGAGAACCAAGAACGAAATAAAGTAGAATGAAAGGACTGAACGTGACTAAGGGAGTGAGGAGTAAAATATTAGCTAGATTTTTCAGGCACTGCCTCTCTGAAGAGGTAACATTTGAGCTAAGAGAGGTTAGAATGAGCTAGACATGTAAAAATTGGAGAAGTAATACGGGGAGTCCATGGAGAAGGTAGTGGAAAGACCTTGGAGTAGGAATAAGTGTGGCGTGTTTGCAGAATAGTGAGAAGACTGGTGTCGCTGAGGAGATAGGCAAAGGGAGAGTGGGAGAGTATACAGCCAAAGAGGTAGGCAAGAGTCTCATCTTGCAAAGGCTGCACAGTAAGAAGTTTGGGTTTTATTTTTTCAACAAGGGGAAAACGTCATTGTATTTAAAGCAGGAAATCTGATGATCTGATTTACATTTTAAAAATGTGTTTGGCTATTGTGACATGAGTAATTATTATGGGGTAAGACAGGGTAAATTAGGAGGCTTTTGCAAGAGTATGAGAAATGACCATAGTAATACAGATAGAAAGAAGTGGGAAACAATTAAATATATTCTGGAGGAAAGGCTTATCAGACTTTCTGGTAGATTTAATGGTGGGAATTGCAGGGTGAGAGAATGAGGAATTTTTTAAATGACTCCTAGGCTTTTAGCTTAAGTAAGTTCACACAGATTTGGTACTTTTGCAAAAATAAGGAAGGTAAGGAGAAGATTAGGTTTTCTGGGGGGAACCAAAGTTATTTTTTGGACAGATGAAAATTTGGAGAAACTTATTAGATATTCAAGCTCAGGAGAGACGTCACGGTAGAGACACCACCATATGTAAAGTATTTAAAGGCAGAGAATGGAAGAAGCCACCTGCAAATGAGAGTGAAAAGAGGAAGCTATAAAGTTGAGTCTAGGGCCAACCTATCAACCAGAAATCTAGCCAGAGAGGAGCAGCTCACTGAAGATGCTGAGAAGGATATGAGCCTGGGGGTCAGCAGGAATACTAGGAGCTCGCAAATAATAGGAGTCAGGAGAGGAAAAGCAGGAGTGGTCAGTTGTACTGACAGCAGCTCAGAGGTGAAGAAAATGAGAACGAGTGAGTGATGATGGGTGGTGGACATGGGGCATGGCTAATGACTGGCAAGAGCAGTTTTGGGAGAGGAAAGCAAGAGAACCTGATGGCAGGAGAGAATGGCAAGGACAAGTGGAGGCTGTCAGTTAAGTCCGCACTTTTGTCAGCCTCCTTAGAGACAATGAGCAGGATATGAAGAAATAGCATAGGTTTGATGGGGACTTTTCTGGATAAGAAAGAAAAAATGTTAAACGACTTGGCCACAATGGTGAAACGCTATCTCTACTAAAAATACAAAAATTAGCCAGATGTGGTGGCGGGCGCCTGTGGTCCCAGCTACTCAGGAGGCTGAGGCAGGAGAATCCCTTGAACCTGGGAATTGGAGTCTGCAGTCAGCCGAGATCACACCACTGCGCTCCAGCCTGGGCAACAGAGCGAGACTCTATCTAAAAAAACAAAACAAACAAACAAACAAGTAGTGGCCATCACTGGAAGACATGTTGTAGGCTGATGGGAAGCAACCTGTAAGAGTAGAAGAAAGACATCTACCTAAATCAGAGCTTAAAAACTCTCTTAACTAATTTAATTTAAAATCTTTCTGGTTCTTTGACCTATGAAACCATACTCTATGAAAATGCAAACTAGTAAGACATCACTGATTTTTAAATTACCTGGATTTTAATATGCATTTATTTTTTATGACCTTGTTAGAAAAACATTATAAAAATACATTTTGATAAATCTGTTTTTCCAGAGGAAAAAATACATAATTATTCTACACTTAAACACAATCTAACTACTTATTCTCATATTTAAATTTATAGCAATTATCCTAGGTCATGCATGTCATGCATTTTGCCCCAATCATGGGACATACAGTTGTGTATTACTGGCAAAATTGTATGCCCAACTATAAAAACAGAGATTATTTTTTCATTTTATGTATTTAAAATAATGTGTGGCTTATTCACTATTTTGTAGTTTGCCTTTGGGTTAACCAGATCTGACACAAATTCTTTCTTTGTGATTTGCAAGGTGTCTGAGTCTCGTGTATGTGTGTGATTGAGAAGGAGAAAGGAGAGACAGAGAGAAAAATAACAACTGCCTTATAGAAATATAAAGGTCAGAGATAGTGTGTGTATATAGCAGCTGAATCCTGGTACTTACAGAGGTTCAGTAAAGCATTGTTATTTATATTATTTCCATTGTCATTGCCATTAGTTTTATTGCTATATTTTTGAAGTTAAGAAACCTATACACCATAGCTGAAGAACTTTCTTTCCACTGATGGCAAATAACAAACAAAAATAAACTTTAAAAATACATAGTCTCCAAGCAAAAAAAAACCTGTCTTTTTCCTTAAAGAAGCATATAATTGGGTCAATAAACACTGTATTGTAGACTTACTAAGTACTAAGATTCTGTATGTGTATATCTGTAGAGGGGGTGGTATCTGGTTTTAAAATTAAGGACACAGATTATGAAACTATTTGAGGAACACTAATAATTTTAAATTGAGTTTTATATTATGTCTAGTTAAGGACTGGTAGTATAGAATGAGAGTACAGAGAAAGAAGTAGCAGAATAAACTACTACTTTTGCCATGTGTTTGGGAGAGTGACAAACACACATAGCAAAAAAAAGAAATAGTAGTATAAGGAAGCAGAAAATGAGACCAATTGGAAATGAAGTAGACAGGCAAAAAGTGTCCCATGTAAATAAGTTGTCCCAAAGTCACAACTTAATCTTCCACTGAGGTATGTTACCTTAAGAGACTAGTGTTTAATTTTCTTTTACCGATTTATTATTCTACCAATAAACAAACTAATAATGCTACAGCCTTCCCTCCTAATAGGTTAACTAGTGAAGATTGTTACAAAAACATTATTCTTTGAGTTGCAGTAGTAGTAATCAGGACAGCTGTCTTTCCAAAGGCTGAAAATAAATGAAGCTGAAATACATATTTTCCCTTTGACTAAGAGCTAAATGTTCCCCTCTGTTTCTTCTTCACATTTTCATTTAATAGAAACTTTTCCCTTAACCTCCACATAATTGTTGTATTGACCAATATGTTCCATTATCTCCATAAAACACACAAGCTGCACTCATTGAACTCCAACTGCTCAGAGCTCTCCAATCACACACAAGTAGACCAGCACTGACTACACTCATCAGCCAAGGTTCATGATTATAAGCAGTCACAGGAGTTTGGTCCTAAATCTGTTTATAAGCCAGTTGTGTTTGCTATTGTAGTATTAACATTAGTTATGGTGATGAAATGTGAGAATGATAAACAAAATTGCTTTCGATGAAAATTAATGTTACAAAAAGGTAGGGAGATCGGCCGGGCGCGGTGGCTCACGCCTGTAATCCCAGCACTTTGGGAGGCCGAGGTGGGCGGATCACAAGGTCAGGAGATCGAGACCATGGTGAAACCCCGTCTCTACCAAAAATAGAAAAAATTAGCCGGGCGCAGTGGCGGGCGCCTGTAGTCCCAGCTACTCGGGAGGCTGAGGCAGGAGAATGGTGTGAACCCGGGAGGCGGAGCTTGCAGTGAGCCGAGATTGCGCCACTGCACTCCAGCCTGGGCGACAGAGCGAGACTCCGTCTCAAAAAAAAAAAAGGTGGGGAGATCAACTGAAGTTGTCTGAAGTTCTTATTTTAGATAAAAGAAATGACAAATTTAAATTGTAGAAGACTCATTACTGGCATGGCTTAGGTAAGAAATATTGTGTAGAATTCCAATCAATAGACATTTAAGAAAAAGTCGTGACCTTACACCAAAAGACCAGCATATGAATGTACAGGTACTTGTTTTATCTTGAAATAGAACACTAAGGTATAAATGTATCATTTTTACAGTTCCCTTTACTAACAGACTTTTTCAACTCATTCACCTGCTGCTTTTGGTCATGAGAGAAGTATTCATATGTGCTATGTTCTCATGACATATACCACAGACAACATTCTTGCTACCAGGAAATAATCAACAAATAGGGTTTAGGAAGTAGATTGCACATGCCATATGGTCATCAAGAGCAGAGGAAGTTTTGCAAATAAAAAAGAAATACTCACTACAGGTAAAATATATGTATTAAAGAGTGGTTAATGTCTCTTCTGAGTCATTAGTCCTCCTTAAGAATAATAGGAGCAATTACAAAACAAATGCCATATATTTTTGTACAAGTCTTAGATTTCTTGAAGATCAGTTACATAAATTTGGGACTCTATGACAAAATGCAAGAAAATAATGCTACTTATATAAACTAAACTATAATGAAAATGATGTATCCATGATGATCAACAAAAACTGGCCACTTAATTAAATGTAAATGTACCATGGAATTATAAGGATTATATATGCATATTTTCTACAGAAATTTTTTTAATTTTGAATAAAAATACTATCCATTTTATGTTTTAAAATAAATGTTTATGAATATAAATATGCAGATTTTTAAAACAATTTATTTCAATAAATGTTGAGTAATACTAAGTCTCATCTTTAAACCTACGTAGTTATAGTTCACAAAATTACAGTCCTCATAACAAGTAAAAATAACTTATTACTGGGGAAAAAGAACATTGGTAAAATTGGTAAGTAAAAAAAACAAATGAAATGCATAGTTGCTGAGATCCTATCTTTAAAGTAATCCTAGAAACTTCTCTACAAATGATTTGTGCATTTTTACTCCAACCTCTACAATAAAATACATAATAGTGCACTTGGTCTGTGCTGCCTCCAAGTGCTTAAACCAATTACTTTTAAGATTCTTACAGCAGCTATAAGCAAATTCTTTCCCTGCTATGAGTAGCAATTTTGAAAGCAAACCATGTCGACCATGAATGGCTGTAAGAGCACCAAAATTTTGACATGAAAATAAAAATCTCAAAAGTAGTAATAAAACATCAAAAATCCTACCAGCTCACTGGAAGTTCATGGAGTCTAAAAATATTTTTCAGCTTGTAGTCAAATTTTGCTGGAGAAAGATTTTCTTTATAAACATTCAGGTTTGCATTTGGTTGCATATCTATGGGAAATTCTGAATCCTAGAGAAAAATATTAAACAAGAGCTCTGCGTTAAATATTAAAATCACTGCACGTGTTGATACTCTGATTTAATACTAAATTACAACATAAACATTATAATTATATTTGCCCAGAATTTACATGAAGTCCTTCATTTCCAATTTCAGTTTTGAGGAAAATATTTAAAAAGATAAAATTTTAAATAAGGCACATATCAATTTATATAACCAATTACAATTCTAAGCCTCAAGCTACATGTTAAAAATTACTTGAAAATACTCCCTATTTGAATTCCAATGAAGCACAATATAGCATTGTCATATATTATTGGTTAATTGTCTTTTTTTAAATAAGCTTTCCAGGCCCAACAACAATGCCAGCAGTCAAAAGTCCATAATTCTTATGCCCCTTTTGTCCCCTATAAATGGCAGACTAAAAACACTTTCATTGGGTAACAAAGTTAACATTTGCTAATTGATTGATTATGATTTTCTTTTTAAATCTAAGGACACAGGACTAATTTAAAAACACTTACTGACAGTAAATCGTTTCTATTAATCTCGTCAAATCACACACATTAGAATCCACATATCATTTCTTGGTCACCTCCCTCTCCACCAAGCAAACCATAGCTACAGATCAAAGAGCATTTTCAGTCCATGAGAAAGTAGTCGTTGCTCAGTGGAAAAAAGACATGCTACGAATAAGCACTCAACAAATAATGAAGGATAGATTAATTACTTAACTCGACTCAAAAAAACAAGTTATGAATCCCCTACTAGCTAATTCTGTAAAATTGCTCTGACAGAAGGCTCATATCATGAATTTTTGCACCCATTTATGCATTCAAAAATTATTTATCTCAAACATTGTTTTAGGCATGAAAAATCTTTTTTCTTTTTTTTTTTTTTTTCCATTTTTGAGACAGAGTCTCACTTTGTCGCCCAGGATGGATTGCAGGGGTGGGTTCTTGGCTCACTGCAACCGCTGCCTTCTAGATTCAGGCAATTCCCCTGTCTCAGCCACCCGAGTAGCTGGGACTACAGGCGCATGCCACCACGCCCAGCTAATTTTTTGTATTTTTAGTAGAGATGGAGTTTCACCATATTGGCCAGGCTGGTCTCAAACTCCCGACCTCCGGTGATCCGCCTGCCTTGGCATCCCAAAGTGGTGGGATTACAGGCGTCAGCACCGCCTCCGGCCTGAAATAATATTTTTCTAATTAACAAAGTAGTACATATTAATATAGAAATTTTGTGCATTTCATAATACTACAAAAACCTAAAAGCAACTTAGTCTCACCACCCAGATAAATTACTATTAACACTGTGGTTTAATTACTTAATATTTTCCCATCTTTCTCTCTCAAGTTTTACAAAATTGGAACCACGCTCTATTATCTTCTCTCATTTTTCATTTATCAGTGCTGCATTTTCACATCATTTAGTCTGTTTTGAAGGAATGATGAATGCCACATTTTACTTATTCAGTGATTTTTGTCTCTCTTATGGTTATCAACGTTATGAACAGAGTATTTGGTCTATAAATCTGCACTTCACTAAGTATTTCCTTAAAGAATAGTACTAGAACTGTAAATCATTCAAATAGAATAAATATTTGAGAAAAACATGATCCCTTTTCACAGACTGCTTTTTAGAAAAGCTTTACCAATTATACTTCTGCCAGTCACGTAGCACTGTGTGCAATTCACCATATCTTTGTTAATGGCATATACACACACATGTGCATACACACATGCACTTAAAACAATCCATTCTTTCAATAGTTATTTCCTTTGAATAATATTTATTACTGAGTGTCAATTTTATGATAGGCATCAGTTTCAGTTCTTATAATATATCACTAAACAAAATAGACAAAATTATCTCCCTTATGGAGCTTACATTCTAAAAGAAGCAACAACTAGGGCAATATAAATAATGAACATATATACTATATTATATCTATAAAATAAAAAACCTGTGAAAAAATTTATTGCCAATTCATATATAATTAAGTTAAACATTTCTATATTTGTTATTTCTTTGCTTTACTTCATATTTTCTGAATTGCATATTTATGCCGATTGCTTATTTTTCTATTGTTTTGCTTGTATTTTATTTTAATGATGATGCTTGGGTTGGAAATAGGGGAAGGAATTTCTAACATAAATTAGTATGTTAGAAAATATAGCAAGATGGATCCAAATCCAGTCTTATATAGTTGTTTGTACTGCATGAAAATATCTGAAACCACAAACACAGCAATTTTTATAAGCATTGTTAAACCAATCATCATATAAAACAAATAGAAAGAGGTATTTAATAAAACCTAATCAACTAGGTCCTGCTGCCTATTTAGTAGAGCTAACAAAAATAGTAAAATATGATGATAACTGAACAACTATTTATAAAAAGATTTACATCAAGAGCAGCAAAACCCTAATAAGAACAGTCCAATCTAAGCATAGATTCACTTGCAGAGGTAAACATCAGATTTCTTATATCACCCAGCCTATATGCTGAAATATTTCAGGAGACAATGGCCAATGCATGGGAAGGCAAGATCAGTGACGTAAATGTGAGAGATATAAATCAGAACAATGTGTACAGGATGGAAGAAGTAAAACAAATCTTAAAATTATTCTTCCAAGCAAAAAAACCATAGCCTTTTTTTGTATTGACAAGGTACAATTGGAAGGCAAAGCTAAGCTCTCAGCAGTGTGCTTTAATAGTTCATTGGTCTCCACTCAAAGTGCACGTTGAACTCATTAGGCAGCTTTTTAAAAAATACCAGTATCACTGAGTCACACCCCAAATAAATTAAATAATGATTTGAGAGGAAGGCTCTGGCACTGGTGTGTATTTTAAAGACTTCTATGTGAAATAGAAGTCAGGGTTAAAATAATGGCTTTCCTTAGCAACTCAGCTCCACCACATATGAGTGCAAACTCAGGCAAGCTATTTAACAAGCTTTCAAAACATATATATATACACACACACACACACATATATGCATATATATATATATATATTTCTATCTGTAAAATGCAAACCCAATCATACCTGTCTTAAACGCTGCATGAAGATTGAGATAATCTCTGCAAAGCATTCATCACATGTTAGTCATCTAACACATTCATTAAATTCTTAGTAAACGTTATCTATTTATATTGCTATTTTTATTATTTCTGCAACTAGTGGCACATTAATTTCAGCTGGTAAGCAAATTCATCATGAATTATTTCATACTCCACTTATTTTTTATGAAATAATTCTATATTAATCAAATTATAAGTTTAATATTCTCCTGGTATATTGATTGAAGCAGACTTGATTTTGACATAATCTTACCTCCCCAAATCCCAGTTTCATAACCAGTTAATGGCTGGTCATCTCTATATGTCCCAGTACCAATAATAAAATAAGTTATTGCTTTATGGGCCAATTGGAATTAAATATAGTCTTACATTTAAAAAAATGGAAGACCTGTGCTTGGCCTGTTTCACTTAACATAATAACTTTCAGTTCCATCCATGCTACTGCAAATGACAAGATTTCATTCTTTTTTATGGCTGAATAATATTCCATTGTATATATACCATATTTTCTTTTTTCACTCACCCATTCATGGGCACTTAGGTTGATTCCATATTTCAGCTATTATGAACAGTGCTGCAATAAACATGAGAATGCAGACATCTCTTCATTATATTAAGTGAAATATACCAAGCACAGAAATACAAATTTTGCATGTTCTCACTCATATGTGGAAGCTAAAAAAGTGGATCTAAGAAGATAAAGAATAGATTGGTGGTTACTAGAGGCCAAAAAGGTCAGTGGAGAAGGAAGGCTGAAGAGAGGCTGAATAATGGGTACAAATACATAGTTTCATAGAAGAAAGAAGACCTAGTGTCCTGTAGAACAGTAGGGTGACTCTAGTTTACAATAATCTATTGTACATTTCAAAATAGCTAGAAGAGAATAATTCAAATATTTCTAACATAAAGAAAAGACAAACATTTAAGGTGACGAGTACCTGAATTATACTGATGTGAACGTTACAAATTATATAAATTATCACTTGTAACCTGAAAAAAATAAAAAATAATAAAATATTTTAAATGTCAAAGACCCAATGGGCACCTCTTTCTTAACTTGAGTGACACATCAGTTAGGCATCCCATGGGAAGCCAAGCTATCTACTGGGCCTCTTTCCCCATGAGTCCCTTGGGTACCCAGGTTTCCCCCCCAACCCTAGATCTGTGCCACTCAACAGAGGTCTCTGCTTCCCCATCTTGTCATTTGCTATTCATTGAACTAACATTCACAGGAATTGCCCCAAACAATTTGTAAGTGGAAGTGAAAAATTATTCAATCAGGCATTCTGTCAACATTTGAGTATCTACTCTATTTCAGGAATTATGTTAATTACCAATTTACAAATATAAGTAGAATACATTCCTTCTACTCCAAGGATTCACAGTCCTGTGAAGGGTACAGCATAAGTGAAAAAAAAAAAAATCATTGGAAAAAGCTAGAGTAAAAATATGCAAAAGATAATAAGCAAATAAATAAGCAATTAAAATGTTGGAAAAGGGGAGATAAAATTATCATTAATTACAGATATTATGATTACATTGATAGATGATTAGATAGACAAGCCAAAAGGAAAAAGAAACTAAAGAGGCCATTTTACTGTGGCTGACTACATCTGACAAATTATAAAATTAGTAAGTTTCCCTAAGAAAAATATTGTCTGGGTGCAGTTCCTCATGCCTGTAATCCTAATATTTTGATAGGCCGAAGCAGGTGAATCGCTTGAGCTCAGGAGTTCGAGACCAGCCTGGGCAATGTGGTGAAATCCATCTCTACAAAAAATACAAAAATTAGCCAGGTATGGTGGCTCCCACCTGTACTCCCAGTTACTTGGGGGGCTGAGGCAGGAGGATCGCTTGAGCCCAGGAGGTGAAGGTTGCAGTGAGCCAGGACTGTGCCAATGCACTCCAGCCTGAATGGAC